AAATTAAGGTGGAGAACCGAGTCCCCACAGTCTTACCACAAGGCTCTATGATTTCCTCCCCTTCACAGCTTCGCTCATTGGGCTTTGTGATCAACATTAATGTGTTGGCAGGACATCAGTGCCTAACCCTCTTGAATATAAGCCCAATTGCAGTGTGTGTATACACATTGAGAAAATGTTTCCATCCATGTGTGAGGACATTCGGGAGATGACGTGGAAACCGGCCACTCGGGGGTTAACAGTGACCGCTGTTACCTTCAAGTAGGTTTTCGGTTTTGCTAAGCATCTGCCTCTGGTGCCAAAGGTTGCAGGTTTGAATCGATAGAAAGTTGTTTGGGATATTTTGTATTAAGCCTATCCCATACCTTAACCCTTACCTTAACCATTCAGAGTTAATGCCTAACCTTAAGATGTTGGAGTTAATGCCTAAACCTAATCTTAAACACTTTGAAATTTGACGTTTGAGAAACATGGATGAACGTCTAATTCTAACGTGAGACTGTGAGAGCTGGTAGAAACATGTATGACGATGTAGTGGGAGTGTGTCAAAATACGTACGCACACATGGAAGTAAGTGCATCCGGGGACACACACACACACACACACACACACACACACACACACACACACACACACACACACACACACACACACACACAGACTGTTTTATTCCCACTTTGGGCCTGTCCTCTACACACACACACAGGTCATGTCTGAATACCTGTACCTACGTTCTAAATCAGATAGGGGACGGGCTGTACCAACATGAATGAATGGTGGGAAACAAAGCAGGTATGCATCAGATTACGCATTCTCAGTATGGGGGAGCATGTTGGTATTTGTTGCTAAGAGCAACGTATTTACTAAGCAGTATGTTCTAAATAGGAGGTAATATGATTATTACACAGCATGCAGTTCTAGTAAGTAGTAGGCAAGACAGATCACAGACACGGCCACACACTCTCTCTCTGACACACACACACACACACACCTGCTTTATTCTACAAGTATGTTCCTCCCTGTCGGCCCTGTCTTATTAGATTATCCCCGTCTGAGGGGGGCGTAAATCTAGGTGATGTGTAATCAGCGGGCGGTGTGTGAACTGGACGGTGTGTGTGAAGGTGAGGTTAACACACGTCCTGTCCCAGTCTGCCAGGGTCACTCTCCCTAACACACCTCCTGTCCCATTCTGCCAGGGTCACTCTCCCTAACACACCTCCTGTCCCAGTCTGCCAGGGTCACTCTCCCTAACACACCTCCTGTCCCAGTCTGCCAGGGTCACTCTCCCTAACACACCTCCTGTCCCATTCTGCCAGGGTCATTCTCCCTAACACACCCCCTGTCCCAGTCTGCCAGGGTCACTCTCCCTAACACACCTCCTCCCAGTCTGCCAGGGTCACTCTCCATAACACACCACCTGTCCCAGTCTACCAGGGTCACTCTCCCTAACACACCTCCTGTCCCATTCTGCCAGGGTCACTCACCCTAACACACCTCCTGTCCCATTCTGCCAGGGTCACTCTCCCTAACACACTTCCTGTCCCATTCTGCCAGGGTCACTCTCCCTAACAAACCTCCTGTCCCATTCTGCCAGGGTCACTCTCCCTAACACACCTCCTGTCCCAGTCTGCCAGGGTCACTCTCCCTAACACACCTCCTGTCCCAGTCTGCCAGGGTCACTCTCCCTAAAATACCTCCTGCCCATTCTGCCAGGGTCACTCTCCCTAACACACCTCCTGTCCCAGTCTGCCAGGGTCACTCTCCCTAACACACCTCCTGTCCCAGTCTGCCAGGGTCACTCTCCCTAACACACCTCCTGTCCCATTCTGCCAGGGTCACTCTCCCTAACACACCTCCTGTCCCAGTCTGCCAGGGTCACTCTCCCTAACACACCTCCTGTCCCAGTCTGCCAGGGTCACTCTCCCTAACACACCTCCTGTCCCAGTCTGCCAGGGTCACTCTCCCTAACACACCCCCTGTCCCAGTCTGCCAGGGTCACTCTCCCTAACACACCTCCTGTCCCAGTCTGCCAGGGTCACTCTCCCTAACACACCCCCTGTCCCAGTCTGCCAGGGTCACTCTCCCTAACACACCTCCTGTCCCATTCTGCCAGGGTCACTCTCCCTAACACACCTCCTGTCCCAGTCTGCCAGGGTCACTCTCCCTAACACACCTCCTGTCCCAGTCTGCCAGGGTCACTCTCCCTAACACACCTCCTGTCCCAGTCTGCCAGGGTCACTCTCCCTAACACACTTCCTGTCCCAGTCTGCCAGGGTCACTCTCCCTAACACACAGGTTTGTGCCTCTCTTAATGATTTATGGCTTTAATATAATCAGCCATTCAATGCAATTACCTGTGTTAGGGAGGAGGAACCACAGAGCAGGGAGAACAGGGCAGGGCAGGGCGGGGCTTCAGGCGGGATGTATGGTGGGGCATACGTGTGTGTGTGTTGGGGGGGGGGGGGGGGTAGCATAAAGTCTGATTATACCAATTTACCGCTGATGCAATGTACAGTATAAAGTTACTAGTGATGATGATGGTGATGATGATGGTGGTGGTGATGATGATGATTAAGTTGATGATAGAAATGGAAATACACAATCAGAAAAATAAACCCCATCTCTCTGCCTCCCTCTCTCATTGTCTTTCTCTCTCTATCTGCCTCTCTCTCTCTTTCTGCCTTTCTCTCTCTCTCTCTCTGTCTCTCTCTCTCTCTCTCTGCCACCATCCCAGGGTATGATGTATCTGGAGGAGAGAAGGCTGGTCCACAGAGATCTGGCAGCCCGTAATGTTCTGGTCAAGTCCCCCAACCACATCAAGATCACTGACTTTGGCCTGGCCAGACTGCTGGATGCAGACGAGAAAGAGTACAACGCAGACGGGGGCAAGGTGTGTGTGTGTGTGTGTGTGCCGATGGTATACAGAATCACACCTAAATGTTTAATATACATATACCATTGTTTAATATATATACAGTGCATTCGGAATGTATACAAACCCCTTGATTTTTTCCACATCAATCTACACACAATACCCCATATTGACAAAGCAAAAACCGATTTTTTGAAAATGTAGGTCATGTATTAAAAACAACAACTGAAATATCACATTTACATGAGTAAATGTTTACTCAGTACTTTGTTGAAACACTTTTGGCAGCGATTACAGCGTCGAGTCTTCTTGGGTATGACGCTACAAGCTTGGCACACCTGTATTTGGGGGGGTTTCTCCCATTCTTCTCTGTAGATCCTCTCAAGCTCTGTCAGGTTGGATGGGGGGCGTTGCTGCACAGCTATTTTCAGGACTCTCCAGAGATTTCGATTCAAGTCGGGTTCAG